TCTTAGTGAGCCGGCTAACGGCTAGCAGAGTACTCAGAGCTGAGACTTAGCAGAAGCCTATTGCCCGTGCTGGTTCTTAGTGAGCCGGCTAACGGCTAGCAGAGTACTCAGAGCTGAGACTTAGCAGAAGCCTATTGCCCGTGCTGGTTCTTAGTGAGCCGGCTAACGGCTAGCAGAGTACTCAGAGCTGAGACTTAGCAGAAGCCTATTGCCCGTGCTGGTTCTTAGTGAGCCGGCTACTGGCTAGCAGAGCTCCTGCTCAGTCCGTCACAGCAGATGACAGGTGATACGCCCAGCCCTGCCTGTCCCGTTGGAGGAGGAGAGACAGTCATTATTCTGACCCTGTTATTTGGCCTCTATGATACATTACACTAAATGCAATTAAATACTGCATAATTGATTTATTTCATCGTAGTCCAATTAAACTTCTGTCTTTATATACAGACTACAATGAACACTGAAAGCTGGGAACAATCACTGTAATGAATCCCGATTATAATATGAGCACTGACATTCTAAGTCCATATTAGCATTTAGTTGCATGCTTATCATCTAATTGTGATTGAGGGAAATTGAAGTGATTGTGTTTCCGGTGCTTTTGTAATCGTGCTGGTTGATTAGGAGTGACTGCTGATGCGATACCCTGTGGATAACAAGGTTTGAAGCGACGATGAACTGGCTTCTAACTTTCATGTACCATAAATTATTCTAATGGTGTTTATTCATTTTGTCCGGCTCCATTCCAGTTACATTCCATATATCAAATGGCCAAAAGATCAGTGTTTTTCTGTATGATCATACGTGTATTTATGACATTTATATTGCATTTTTGTTAAAACTTTGGCTAAATTCCCAGGACTTCCAGGGCTAAGCAGTGTCCCCGTGTCCCTATGAACACGACCCGTTCCTTTATTCTCAGTGCCTCTCACCTTCATCGCCTCATTTCTTACTCATCCTCCCAGCATCCTCCTTCCGAGTACTCCCCTTCCTCTCTGTCTCTCGCCTCCTCTCTCTGTCTCGCATCGACTTCCCTCTTCCCCTCGTCATCGTCACCTTCCACCCCCTCCTCCAGTGAGTCATTTCTTTTGTGGAGTCCACTTCCTTCCCGCCAGAGACAGCTCCGTGAACTTCAGCAGATGGTTTGCGTGAGCATGAGGGGGGGCACACCGGGAGGACCAAAGGGCAGCGGCGTGGAGTCATGATGCTGCGGATGCTACTGCTGTTACCGCTCGGGGGGCAGGAGGGGACCATCTTGACGGGGTCATGGGCCACTGGCGCTGCACTGGGGTAGAGAGGCGTGAGTGGGAGTGCTTGTCAAGCGAGCGTGTTCCCGAGCGTGTTCCCGAGCGTGTTCCCGAGCGTGTTCCCGAGTGCGTCTGTGAGTCGTGTGCGCTAGCACGCTTGTCTTCGTCTCAGCTCTGCCGATCCTCAGCCTCCGTCTTAACCCTCGCTCTGTGTCCCTCTCCCCACTCTTCCCTCTGCTTCTTCGCCACACGGAGTGAGGCTCTTTAAGCTGCTCGCTGAGCTGGAGGGGGGGGGTGCTCGCTGAGCCGGGGGGCGCTCAATGCCTTCCTAGCGCTCTCGTCGTGACCATTCATTTCCAGAGACTGCCCTTGGGCATCTGGGCATTACGCTCCTTTCCAGACTGTTTCAGTAATGCAATGAAGCTCTCTGCTTCTTGAGGTGTTTTTTTTTTTAAATTAAATCAAGAATACAGCTTCTATTGCATATTAATTTGTTAACGGAGCTTAACATGTGGATAGTGGGAAGCTGGTCACCCCCCTGAAGATGCCAGCCCTACCTCACAGCATACACAGCAGAGCTGTCACCTAGACCTGGCCACAGGCGAGATGAAAGGTGGACTGCCTGTGGACCGACCACTGGAGACTCTCCTCCAAAGAGGGTGCTGACCTCTGACCTGCTGGCTCTGCTCTCTCTCCTCCTCAGTGATTACATCATTGAAGAGAAGAATGCCGTCCTCCAAAAGAAGGAGAATGAAGGCTTTGGATTCGTCCTACGTGGCGCTAAAGGTAAGACGTCTGGCATTCTGGGCATGCCTCTGTTTTCCGTTGATTGTTATTTATTCCAGTAGGAAGGTAGACAACATCAATGTGACATTAGCTAATTGTAATTAGCTACATTCTATGAACATTTGTCAATAATGAAGTTATACAGGCGTCTTTTGGCTATTTTGGCTCAGGCGTTAACGTGAGTGCACATTGTTGAGCAGCAGAGATGGATAAAGGCTGAGGTTTAATGGCAGACAGAGTGGGCAGGGTTTTGCTTGGGGTCTTGGGGGGCTCACACAGCAGCTTGCATGCCTTGGGTGGTTGTGACTCAGGAGTGCCATTTCAGCTGCTGTTCCCCACAAAGTGCGGAGAATAAAGGACAGGGTCATTCCTTCTCTGTGCATTTTTGAACATCTTACTGCAAGTAAGACCTCAACAATCCATTTACACAATTATTTTAAGCAGCACATGTGAGAGAGGAGACTTTGAAAGCCCCTGTGTGTGAGCTTACTGTGACCTGTCAGTCACAGCCTGACATACTCTATCGCTTCATCCATTCATCTCCAGCCGCAAACACCATGAACATCTGTGGCTGCCATAGATAAAGTCATCTGAGACCTACATCTGTCTCCACAACAACCATCCTCAGTATGTATTTAAGACCCTTGTGTCTCCAGCTAAGGATAATTAGGCAGACTGACAGCTTGAGAAGAACTCAACCACTTTGAACGGCTGTAATTATTGGGGAACATTTGGCAGGTGCTTCCATGTCGAGGGCTCCAAAATTGCAATCTTGTTACAAAGTGGCATCTCGAAGGCAATGGTAGCCTGGGTAAAAGAAGGAAACACGCCGTGGAAAGAAGTAGCCTTCCAGCATGAGTGCAAACTGCAAGAATGAGCAGGAAACGTATTCTAGTGAAAGATTATCCGTATCTCTGAAGGGGACGCCGTGACTCTGTAGGAGGGGGAGGAGGCCGGGCTCCGTGGGGCGTCCCGTATCTCTGAAGGGGACGCCGTGACTCTGTAGGAGGGGGAGGAGGCCGGGCTCCGTGGGGCGTCCCGTATCTCTGAAGGGGACGCCGTGACTCTGTAGGAGGGGGAGGAGGCCGGGCTCCGTGGGGCGTCCCGTATCTCTGAAGGGGACGCCGTGACTCTGTAGGAGGGGGAGGAGGCCGGGCTCCGTGGGGCGTCCCGTATCTCTGAAGGGGACGCCGTGACTCTGTAGGAGGGGGAGGAGGCCGGGCTCTGTGGGGCGTCCCGTATCTCTGAAGAATTTTTCTGAGAACCTTCCAGAATACCCCCCTGCCAGTTGTTACTGACACGCATGCTTGTGTGCACTCTGTTGGCAGCGGAGACGCCCATCGAGGAGTTCACGCCCACGCCGGCCTTCCCTGCGCTCCAGTACCTGGAGTCTGTGGATGTGGAGGGCGTGGCCTGGAGAGCGGGCCTCCGCACAGGAGACTTCCTGATCGAGGTGAGGACCGCTGCTCGCTGCTGGCTCAGCCAAGAAAACGTCCCAAACAGGAAAAGTCAAAGTAGCTCTATTGTCATCTATGCCAGAATGCAAGCAACAGTAATAAAAAGAATGTAAATATGTAAGATATTTAAACATGGCACATCGAGATGAATGTGAGACAGAAATCCACTTATAAAGAACACAGCTCATCTGAGTGACTTCTGTAAGAACACCTGGGGCCTGAGAGCTATATCCAGCTCACCGCATAAAAATTATATGCATGTTTTATAAGTGAAAACACTTTGAAATGAAGATTGCGCATTATGCTGCCTGACCACTAAGAGGAGCTGGAAACAGTCACTGGGAGAAATGTAAATCATGGGTGAGCTGGATGAGTATCCAGCATGAATTATGTGCTCTTTCCGAAGCTGACTGCCATCAGAACTGATGAATGTCTGTGTCTGTCTTCAGTGCTGCAGTTTGTCTTCTGTTACATATATATCATAAAATTATAAAGAAAATACAAAATTTTAAATTGTTGCACTGCTGTGTTAATACTGCTTGCATGTTCTCAATGCTGGAGTGGCTAATCAGGGTATAGAAGGACCCCCCCCCGCCCCCCAATCATGGCTGTTAAATTTTATGGCCCGACTAAAGTTGCGCATCCCTGGTCAATACCATCTCATACAGGTAGGGTATCTGACTGCCTGGCAGCTCCAAACTGCCCCCCCGCCACCGTGTTCTGTTAGGTAATCCCGAGACTCGGCATGTGTGCTCCATATCACTTTACAGGAGTGTGTTTTGCTTGGCTGTTGCTATGGTAACACTGTCACTGGCAGCACGCGGACCCCTGGGTGCTAATGACGGCACCCCTAGTCGGGATGCTTTGGTATTTCCCAGAAGCCACAATGAGCTTTTAGAAAGACTTCGTTATGCCCGACAGTTTAGCTCAGTGTAGTTCTGCCTTTGTCTGTCACATGGGTTTTCCCCGCCTTGTATACCATCTTGCCGGACTTGTTCTGTTTGCATGTCAGAGACATCTTAGAGATTTAGCAGGTCGCCTGCAAACAGTTAGTCACAACATGCCAAGCTCCAATCCTGTGGTACAATGCCGCAGCCCAGCTATCCCATTCTGATTGGTCCACAGACACCCAGTCTCCTGCCATCCTGACTCTGGCTGGCCCCGAATAAAATCTTCACATGTCTCAGTCAGTCTGTAGGGGGGCCCCGTCGTTGTAAGTGAGCCTGTGATTCCTCATACATTACATTTATTTCGCAGATGCTTTCAGCCAAAGCAATATGATATTGAAAAATTAGCATGTGATAGTTCTCAGAGGAGTTCAGGGTTAAAGGCCTTACTAAGGGGCCCAGCAGTGACATCACTCTGGGGGCTAAGGGCCTCGCTCAGGGGCCCAGCAGTGACATCACTCTGGCAACACTGGGACTTCCTGGCCTGCTGAGCCACATCCTGCCACCTGGTGCTCCTGCCTTGGTCCTCCAGGCCGATGGTGCCTAGACACCAAGGATACACAGACCAGTCCTGAAACTCTGCCCCTCTTTCACCCCTGCAGGTAAACGGAGTCAATGTGGTGAAGGTGGGCCACAAGCAGGTGGTCTCTCTGATCAGGCAGGGAGGCAGCCAACTGCTCATGAAGGTGGTCTCAGTCACCCGCAAGCCTGAGTCAGAAGAGGTGGTCCGGAAAAAAGGCAAGTGTCCTTTAGGGGATATCTAAAGCTTTGCAGAAGCATCTTTCCTGGAGCTGTTTTGTGCATTATGAGTTAATGTGAGCCGGATGTGAATACCATTCTGGTTATTAGGCCCTCTATCATCAGGTCACTTGTGCTGACCTGCTTGTACAGTGGGATTGTTTCTTTCCTTAGATACAGTTGCTGGGTTTTATGGTGCATTTCATTCTAAATTCCAACTGGAACGTCCACTAAAGTCAGACTTCCGACTCAGAAAGTCAAAGGAACCTCTACAACCCGATCAGAGAATTCAAGATGGCTGATCTGTGCATCAACAGCAAAACGCTGCAGTAGTTAACAGTTCATACTGCATTTCTATCTTATTTGTGACTCGTTAAATTGGTCATACATGTAGTTCTGTCCAACCTCTATCTGCGGACGTGGTGTTTGTATGTCGAAGAAATATTGTCTTGTTATGAACTAATACTGCTAACAATGGCTAACGATGAACCTGACAAACCGGTATGGCTCACCTGCCTAGTACTGAAGCGTCATTAACTCAGGTATGACGTCATTAACTCAGGTATGATGTCATTCCCAGCTCCAACTCTCAACTTCCAGGGTAAATCGCAGGCAGCATAGCACTTCACCCATGTCTCTGTGGTTCTGGAACATGGTGCATGCAAAGCACAGTTACACCAATTTTGTCTCATGAACTCCTGGTTGTTATGCCGATTTTGTTGATGTGGGGCCTCAGGAGAGAGTGTCACTACCTGTTGAATGCATACAGTAGCACCACCCCAGAGGGTTGCTGGTTCGTTTCCCCTGTGTGTGCAGAGAAGGCCTGAAGGTAGGATGATACTCATGAAGATAGTTGATCAATCACACATCCACCTGTAGCTATTCTCCTGGCTCCTGGTTTCGAAAATAGCTGTTTAATTTGCATGGCTTTTTCATTCACAGTATGAAGGCAGCCATTGCATAAACAAGTAAAGGGGAGAGGTCGTATTGGCTGTTGTCTTAGGGCTTTAATCACCTGAATGGATTTTTGCATTGCGGCCCACTTTGCCTTGGGATTTGAACCAGCAACATTCTGATCACAAGCACAGCATCCAAACTTGCTAAGCCCCCCCCACAAGAGTACAGCATAGTGACCTAGGCCATGCCTCAGGGCAAGGTTGGGGCATTTTAAGGTTAGTCATATATTCCAGGTCAATGGCAGGACCATGTACATGTTTATGAGCTGCATGGGAGGCAGACCATTTAGGGGAAAACTCTGACACCCCTGCAGACATGTGACAGGCGCTATTGGGGGTGTGTCGTCCTGGGGACTTTGCATCTTCAGTAATGGAGCCTTCTGCTCATGGATGGCTTTGCTGAGGGGTTTTGGGCTTGTTATAGATGCTAAAATATGAGAAGGGCACCTTAATCCAGGCCGATAATGATGTTATCATGGTTGTGCCCAGCTTGTTCCTGGTGCAGTGAGACATGGCACCTTGGTAAGCACCAGGCTGCAATGTGCCCATAAACGGTGCCCCCCCACCCCCACCCCCACCCCACTCGCTTGCTCACACGCATGCACGCACACATGTGGCTTTCCACCGCTCTCTCTGCTGTTCCACCCACCACTCAGCAGCAGAAATGAGGGGAGAACTTGGAGATCTCCTGCAACTGAAACCCCCCCCCCCCCGTGCTGTGGTTACCATGGTTACGGCTCTGAATGTTTGAGTGAAGCTTTGCATTTCCATGCTGATTCCCTGTTTCTCCACCGCTTTAGGTTATTTCAGACAGCCTCTGCTCTTACTCTCAAAGTTACAGATATTTTAAGTTTAGAAAAAAAGAACTTAAAAAATATGTGTCTGCGTGATGCTACGGGTGATGTGTCAGGGGTGTAAACGGAAACAAATAGCACATATCAAGTAGTGAGAATGGCAGCCATCTTATTTTACGCCTTCTGATGTCCTCCAAGTGGGTTAGTTCCTGTCAGTGGCTTCGAGAGAGTTGCCGTGTTGCAGGGCCAAACGGCGGTTCCTTGAACCGGTTTCATGGAGCCATCGCGTTCCTTGGCACCTGCCTCCCTGAGTGACGAGGCTGAGTCACAGCAGGATGCCGGGCGCGTTAGCTGACGGGCTCCATGCGCTCTTTCTCAATGGGTGATCTGCAGAAGCCCTCAGGCGGCAGCTCGGAGAGCACAGGAGAGCGGCTCGGGGGAGAGTGGCCGTGCGCGGTGGGCTCGCGTTTATACTGACCACGGGGACACACACACGCACAGACCCGCTTCCTGCCTCATCCGCTCTGGCTAGCCCGCTCGCGTCTGTCTCTCGCCGTGCTGTTCCAGTCAGCTTCGCAGGCCTGCCGTCCCAGCAAATATGAAGAAGTTCGCAGCCAACCGCAGCTTGAACAAGGTTCTGCGGCAGTGCGAGGCGTCCAGCTCGCCTGAGTACAACGAGATGAAGGCTGTGAAGAAGCGCTGGCGCCTTCACATGAGCGCCGCCCGCAGGACGCTGGCCCGCAGGTCTCCAGTGTCCTCACCATCGCTTTTCCCTGCAGCTCCGCCACCACCCAAGAGGGCGCCCAGCACCACCCTGACGCTGCGGTCCAAGTCCATGACAGCCGAGCTGGAGGAGATCGGTGAGTCTGTGTTCCCTGCCTGGAACCTTGGGGGCCTTGGGGGGCCGTGCCGACCGGGGGAGTTGCCAAGGATGGCAGCTGCATGCTACCGCAGTTTGCTCACCATGAGTGTGATTCTGTAGGAGGGCTAGACGTGTGAATCCTACAGTACACAGTGTACTAGTGATCTTTCAGTGTCTTCCATGGGACTGAAGGGCAGTAAAATAGCTTTGAATCAGCTTTGATGTAGAGAGACACGGGTGCAAAGCTCAGCCGTCTGTCACACGCCGCAGCGGCTGCGATGATGCTTTGGCTCAACCACGTCCCACGCTAAGTCCTCCAGGAAACGCCTCTCAAAATTCACTGAGCTTTATCCCTCCCCAAATGACTCTATAAGTATGACCAAAGAGATTGTTTCCCTGTTTATTCCATGCAAGCTTCGGCAAGGAGGAGAAGAGGGGGTGAGTTTGCGTCAAGACTCTTGAATCATCACAGCGCCTCGCCTAAACCGGCAGCGCTGCTAAGTTTGCTGATAATTAAAACGGTGTTGATCTGAGTTGAAAAGTCCCAAAGATGCATTTTAAGCAGGGATGGCACTCCTTGTTAGCGGCATGATTTTCACGCTTTTTTCAGCAATATGACAATTTTTTTCCATACTAAAATGTTGCAAAGAAATTGTGGGCCATGCGGGTAGGAAACAGCATGCAGACCTGGTGTCATCCTCTGAATGCGTGCAGAAAGGCTGGACGAAATGCTCGCCTCCCAGGAGCCTGTGCTGCGGGCAGCGGTGGCTGATGCCGACTACAGGGCCGCCACTGTGAAACAGCGCCCGTCAAGCAGGAGGATCACGCCGGCCGAGATCAGTGTGCGTCAGCCGACACCTGCCGCACCTCTTCATTGCTCAGAGATTTGGGCATTTCACTCAGCCAGACCCAAGTCGGGTTCACACTGCATGCTGGATCGGTCCACTGCAGCCTCACTCTTGGCCTCAGTTCAGCCAGACAGTGCCCCCGATAGCCCAACAACTAGTTTCGGTTTAGTCCCTCAACAAGGTTGACGCATTTGTCCTTTTTGTCACTTGTATATCCTGTAGTCGCTGTTTGAGCGGCAGGGAATGGTGTTGCATGGAGGAATTCCCCTGGAAATGGACAAAAGTCACATTCAGCTACCCAAAGGAATGTCCAGGACCAAGTCTTTCGGTATGGAAGTCATATTCCCTAATCTGTTGTGTTCTTGTTGCAAATAAATAATGTTTTTTCTCATTGCTTCCATTTAATATCAAACTACGAACTGAGATGCAGCTGTTACAGTGGGCCCATGTTCAGTTTTATGAATTGTAATTGTGTAATGGATTCCTGTTCTGGGAGCAGTGATTAAGCAGTTCTTGTGTTAACCTGTAGGGGCGACTGAAGAGGACAGAATCTCTGCTCTGCTCGCAGAACATCGGTTTCCAAGGAGCTCGTCAATGACGGACAGCCTGAAAGAGAGCCGTATCATCCCTCCACCTCCCCAAAGTGCCCCCCCACCACCGCCATCTCCGTACTACCTGGACACAGGCCCCCCACCCTCTTTCTGTCCCCCACCTCCCCCCGGGCGGGGTCATGATCAAAGTCGCTCCAGCTTTAAGCCAGGTTCCGAGGCAAAGCTGCACGGCCTGTCACAGGTGGTTACCCCAGCCGAGATGTACGAGCCGCCGCGGCCCTCAGTCCATGCCGAGCGGCAAAAGAAGGCTCGCTCCATGATCATCCTGCAGGACTCATCGCATCTCCCCGTAGAACCCACTGACATCCCCCGCCCCGGGCCATCCTCCACCCCTCCCGAAAAGATCAAGAGGAAAGGGAGGGTGATCGATAACCCATACGCCAACGTCGGTCAGTTCAGCATCGGCCTGTACACCCCAACAAAACCCCAGCGCAAAAAGAGCCCCCTGGTCAAACAGCTGCAGGTGGAGGACGCTCAGGAGAGAGCATCCTTAGCGTTGGCCTCCGCCCATGCCAGAGAGCACTCTCCCACTGGTCGGATCCCCCACACAAGCAGGGCTGAGTACTACCAGCAGCAACTCCTGCAGGAGAGAGCCCGAGCCTTAGGGGATGGACAACAGGGCAAAGGTCCCTTTGCCGCTGCGATCGCAGGGGCCGTGAAGGACCGGGAGAAGCGTCTAGAGGAAAGGAGGAAATCCACAGTCTTCCTGTCGGTCGGTACTGTCGAAGGTAGCACTACAGCACCCGAGCTGCCGTCCCTGACGCAGTCCCGCTCCGTTGACGAAAGGTTGCTTAGCAGGGAGCTGGGCCAGCTGCCTCCCCCCGCTGTCGTGCTCCGGCCATTGCCGAGCGGGACCACCTTCATCCACCCTTTGACCGGAAAGCCCCTAGACCCCAACTCCCCTCTGGCACTTGCGCTGGCCGCAAGAGAGCGGGCTCTGACATCTCAGAGCCAGTCACCCGCCAGCAGCCCAGAGCCCAGGACTAAACACGAGAAACCGGGGCCTTTGTTCGTCGATTCCCAGACCAAAGAGGCGGAGCGAATGGAAGCAGAAGCGAGGCTGGTGTCTCCCCCCTTCTCACCGGGAGATAGAGCAGGTTTATCTGGCACAATGACCCCACCCAAAACACAATGGGGGACGCCGACCACGCTTCGCAAAGAGATTGATGCAAGAGCAGACAAAGTCGAGGAGAGGAAGCAGGAGGACAAGAAGAGCATGATCATAAGCATCGTGGATACATCTCAGCAGAAGACTGCTGGCCTCATTATGGTACATGCGACAAGTAATGGGCAAGAAGCTGGGCTTAGCATGGAGGAGCCTTCTTTGTCACCACAAACCTCGCTTGTGGAGCCTTCCAAGCCTACGCTGGCTGAAATCAAGCGAGCCCAGTCTCCAAGCCCCGAAGCCACCCAGCCACAGCCAGCCGGTACATCAGCGGAGAGGACGCTGGCTCAGGGTAGCTCCGAGGAGGATGTAGAGCCTTACACTGTTACTCTCCCACCTGCTTTGCTGTCCTCCAGTGATGAAGAGACCCGGGAAGAGCTCCGGAAGATCGGCGTGGTGCCGCCACCCGAAGAGTTTGCCAACGGCTTACTGCCGAAGACAGATGCGACCGCAGCCACCCCAGCACTGGCTAAGCCGGCCACGCCTTCCGCCCCAACCCAAGCAGCAACAGCAGCAGCAGCACACCCTGCTAGCGGAACAGCCTCAGGGAAGCCTTCAGACACCCACCTGGTGCCTGAGTCTGCAGCCGACTCTGGGGTGGAAGAGGTGGACACCCGCAGCTCCAGCGACCACCACCTGGAGACCACGAGCACCATCTCCACGGTCTCCAGCATGTCCACGCTGTCGTCAGAGAGCAGCGAGCCCACCGACACATACACCTCCTACGCCGACGGGCAGACTTTTATACTCGACAAACCGCCAGTGCCTCCAAAGCCCAAACTCAAGTCCCAGCTCAGCAAGGGGCCTGTGACGTTCAGGGACCCTCTACTGAAGCAGTCCTCGGATAGCGAGCTCCTCTCCCAGCAACACGTGGCTGCACTGGCTGCGGCCGCCGGTACCGGCCGACCCCGCTACCTCTTCCAGAGAAGGTCCAAGCTTTGGGGGGATCCCGTGGAGACGCGGCCGCTGCCCGGCCCCGAGGACGGCAAGCCCACTGTGATCGGTGACCTGAGCTCCAGGCTTCAGCAGCTGAACAAGGATACGCGCTCGCTCGGTGAGGAGCCCATGGGAGCACTCGACCCTGGGAGGAAGTCCCCAGTCTCGGGAGCCAGGTAAAAAAGCACCCAGCAACAACTTGAGCAATAAAACAAGTGAAGTTCATGCCCTTGCTACTTTAGCATGAAACCCTTTCTGACATGTTCCATCAAACGAGAGGGTGTGTTATAATTCTTGTGAGGTTTCCATTCTGTAAACAATATGCTCAGAGCCAGTCAGGGGATCTGTTAAGCTGAAGAACTGAATGTATCTCAGAGCTGCAAAATGAACACTGCAGGTTACTGTGTCATTCAACATTTCATATATATCACCTTTGTCTAAACACCTTAAACCCTCAAATGGGCTTTAATCGCAGCCACCTAATGTCTGAAACACAGATTGTCAGTTGTTTGACCATTAATGCTTAATGAGGTTCCCAGAACCTTATTCGGAAGGGATGCTGGCGTGGTGTTCCCTAGCAGGACATTGGCCTGCTACAGCCTCTCAGGCTGCACACCAAAGGCATTCTGATCACCAGCAAATGCTCCAGCATTGAACTTTGGCTGATAGCCCTCAGATACCATTCTGACGAACTGGGCCTTGTGTGTGTACTGGTCCTGCCCATGCAGTGCATGCTGCAGCAACTCTGCACCTGAAACCAGTTCTCCAAAAACCAAAAGGCCGAGATCACAAAAATCACATTTAGATGAATGGATGAAAGGTCAGTGATACCCGGCCAGTCCATCATTGACACCCTAGTACATACTAGCTGACATAGCATTTGTTTTCGTTCTTGATTATTAAAGTATGAAAATACAATCCAGGAGGCTTGAGTGCTGAGTACCACTTCTCAGTACTACGGAGTCAGCGATGCAGCCCATTGGACACGTCCTAGCTAAAGCTCGTTTCCATACCCTTTATTTTATTTTTTAAATAAACAAAACATTCCACTCGCTCCCTTTGCAATGGTTTTGCTGGACTGACTATGAGCTCCACATCTGTCTGGCAGTTTGACCAGTAAAGTAGGGTGCTTTTCCACCATACCATACTTCAGTAAAGTACCAAAAGTATAATGCTTGAAGATGCTAGTTGTTCACTGGTGTAAAAAACTGGTACCGGTGCTGAATGACATCAAGTGACGTGAGGCAGGATACCTTGTACTGAATTGTAAAAATGGCTATAGTATATTATAGGGCTGGGTGATGTGCAAAATTAATACCAACATCACAATTCTCACATTACAAGGACTGCAAGAGTCAGCTGGGTTGAGATCAGGCTTTTTCATGCCTTCATACTGGCCAGATATTGTAACAAAAGATCATCTAGTATATGTTTCAAAAAATCAGTTTAAGTTTACTGGTGCTGCTTTTGCATGAACCACGTATGCACTTTTTCATTCATTCTGTTTCATGTTTCAGTTTCACTCATAGATGTTGTCTTGTGTTTCAGAGATAGGCTATTTGCATAACTAATCAACAATGAACGCATTTGCAGGTCCCACCCCAAAGTACTGAAGTCACAAAAAAGTACCCCAGTTGGTCTGGCACTTCAGCTACTGGAATTTTTGATACTGATACTCGGCAGGGAGTCAATGGAAAACGGAAAATACCAAAAGTACCGTAACAAAATGATGGTACCTGGTGCGGTGGAAAAGCGCCCTAAAATCCCTCAGTTCAGGGGGGAGGGGGGCTCTGAGTTATGCTCCAACTTTCTGATAAGTGCTCTATTGAGCTCATCACTGGCACATGACTGCATTTTAGGCAGATTCAGGTAGCAATGTTTTCTCCTTATGTTTCTGAAAATGCAATGAAGTCCTTTGTGTTCTTACAGATGTGCCAAGAAAAACGAAGAACGTAGCACATAGCTTTTTAGTGCCTAGGGTAAACACAAAGTCTTTTTTTTTAATAACCCCGTTGACTAATCCCTGTTAATCAGTAACTCGCTTTTCCTTTAACCATGCGACCTGTCCAGCCCCGTGACATCATGTCTGCAGCCACTGCATCCCAGAATCACATTAATGCTTTGTTCCAGTTGCCAAGGTGAAGCTGTTCCTCTTACTGTTATACTGTACTATCTTTCATCATTTGCCAGTTTATATTTTACACTTCATCCCATCTGGGGTCTAGCCCTGCCTTGTTCCCCATGCCGAGACCCTCTTCAGGATAAGTAGTTGGAAGATGGATGGATTTTATACTTCATATTTTACAGCAGCACTTTGGAACACAAACTTAATTCGTTCCAGAAGCTGGTCGAGTTGCGATTTGGTCGAACTCCAAGTCGAATTTCCTCATAAGAAATAAATGTAAATAGTAAATTAATTTAATCAGTTCCAGACCCCCAAATGATTGCCTGTTTAAATGTATCTACCTACCTAACTAAAAGTAAAAAGCATTAACAATCAATATACAAGGAAAACACACATGAAAAGGCAATAAACATGAAATGAATGGCAATCCCACACTGCAAAGTGAGAGCAGGCACTTGTGCACCACCTTCAACTCTCACTATAATTTCCTTTTTAATTTCTACAGTTACTCTCATTACTTCCCTCTTTGGTTTGCTCCTATCACTGCTCACTTTCTTAGGGGCCATGATTACTGTGTTACTAAATGTACTGTAGATAAAGCACAAAAAATTCACACTGAACACAGCTTTCGCACGGGACTCCCAGCATCCCAAAAGGTCCGTTTGCCTCCGTTTTAGCCCAACAGAGACGTTTTTTGGCATGTTTTAGCAGGTCTGCTTTGTTTTGTCCTGTTCCAAGTTTTTGGTTGAGTTGTGGTTAGATTTTTCTCAACTGACTCATTTGAGGTTCGAATTGGTAGAGTTGAAAGCATCTCAATGCATACAAGTTTTAGCAGGAATGGTCAAGTTCCAAGATTTAGGTCGAGGTACAAGTTGCATTTATGGGTTTCCTTAAACAGTCAATGTTCATAATCAGGTTAATGAAGGTGGCTGATGGGGCAGTAGAGGAGGTGCAGGCGGATGTGAAAGCGGCTGATGGGGTGGCTGGGGAGGTGCGGGCGGGCGTGGATATGAAGGTGGTTGATGGGGCGGACGCGGACCTGAAGGCAGCTGATGAGGAGGTGCAGGCGGGCACGGACCTGAAGGTGGCTTTATGAGAAGGTGTGGAAGGGCACGGCCGTGAAGGCAGCTGACAGGGCGGCGTTAGCTACGGGACCGGCGAGTGTGGCGTTAGCTTACACAGCCTTACAGCTTGCTGACCCTTACATGCATGGGATGACTTGCTTATATCCTTCGGTAAAGTTGCATAAATGTTACACACTAACATGTAACTAAACCGCCCTCACAGCTTTGGCTGTTTGGTTATGGATGTATTTTTCCAGGGCATTTTTCCAGGGCTGAGCTAAACCAGTTCCTAGACGCTTTACAACACATTGGAAAACTCAATGGCGCAGATTGGTCTGTAGATTCAGCAGCCTTCAGTCAAATGCCTTTGGCTGGTAAAGTTTCAAATGCAGCAGGCCTTTGCTCATGAACGGGGGCTTCCTGCCACTGAGGATGTCCCACCTGGCTGGGCGTGGGGCCTGACTGGGAATACTTGCCCTGGCAGAATATCAGTCCTGTGTCTCTCTCTCTATGGCCGTGACTGACGGTATCATTGTCTCTCACACATTCACCCTGCAGCCCCACTCACCCACATTTGCTTCCTGCTCCCTGGATCTACCCCTGCTGCTGTAAGACTCCGCCCCCGATCCTCACGTTGTTCACCTATCTTGACTCCTTCTCTTTCCAATGGCTGCTGTCGCCCCTTGTTCTTTTACTGGTTGGATTGTATCTGCTCTTGTGGTCCAGGCCCTGTCGGTTCTGGTTCTGTTCTACTGTCCATCCCAGCTTTTCCCAAAACCCCAAATGAGGGGAGAGTAACCTGGGGACAGTAGAAGCAACTGGGTCAGTGATATTTGAAAAATGGCTTCACTACCTGGCTGAACCACACTGCCCAAAGATAATAGTCTGAGAGTGAATGAAACTGAGAAGCTGTTCAGCTCCTCCTTGTCTGGTCAGAAGACATGGCTTCTTTTGATGACCTGTGAAGCTCATGTCCGCTAGTTTGCGGCTGAACCTCCTTCAGTGGTCAGCAGTGGTGTGTAGATGGATTGTTCTGATCCTTGTGGATTGTCCTGCTCATCAGACCTCAATGTTCAAAAGAACTTTTTCTAAGGTCCGCTACTCATGTCATCAGGTAACTAACACACTGTATCAGGACTGATTAATGGTATTGGTAAGCAGTTAGTTAAGCTTAAGTAAGTAGATCAAGTAACCAGAGTCAATCCAATAAAGATCAGACCGAAACATTAATGGTTGATTTTAGTGCAGGGCTTGGGCCAACTGAGATCCTGTTAACTGAAAAAGAGCCACAGGCACAGACGAGGGGGGGGTCACTCAGCTGCTGTAGGGTCTGTGGGACATCTGTGCCTCATAAAAGATAAAATGGACAGCAAAATTGTTTTCTAATTGACTGCCTTGATAAAAATAGTGCCTTTCACCATTTGTCGTATTAGTTTATCTGACACTGGTAGGTGGTCTCCCCAACACACCAATTAAGGGATCGTTATGTGGCAAGAGTTTTCTGAGAAGAACAGTTTGTTCTTCTGCTTTTCAGTCTCTTCTTGGTCTTCGGACTTGTCTGGCTCCCCTCTACTCCCAGTGACTTACCACACCTAACCAGTTCACAGCAGCGTCCGCTTACCAATCTGTAACGGGCTTGCAGTGAGGTCTCCAGAGATCACATGGCACTTCACAGCTAAGTTCTCATTGACCTCTGAGCTCCACCCTCAGCTCTGTGGCTAACCCCCCCCCCCATCTCTGTCTCCTCACCCCCAGACTATTCAGTAGTTTAGGAGAGCTGCACACCATCTCTCAGAGGAGCTACGGCACTACCTACACCATCCGACCAGGCACCCGGTACCCTATTACCCGTCGGACTCCCAGCCCGGGCAGAGGCTCCTCCTCCCCCGATAGGACAGACCCTCTAGGGCTGGGGCGGAGCTACGGCCTGGCTACATCCCCCACGACCCCACCCACCATCCTCAAGTCGTCCAGTCTGAGCATCCCGCACGAGCCCAAGGAGGTGCGCTTTGTGACGCGGACCACCCGCAGCCGCTCGCCCTCGCCCTCGCCCTCGCCCACGCTGGCCTCACCCCTGCTCGCACTCAGGCCCTTCCACCAGAAGCCCCTGCACCTATGGAACAAGTACGATGTGGGTGACTGGCTGGAGAGTATCAACCTGGGCGAGCACCGTGACCGTTTCCAGGAACACGAGATAGAGGGCTCGCACCTGCCGGCCTTGACCAAGGACGACTTTGCCGAGCTGGGCGTCACGCGGGTGGGCCACCGCATGAACATCGAGCGTGCTCTCAAGCAGCTGCTGGAGAGCTGACCCCTGCCACCGCCGCTGCCGTTCCTCTTAGGCTCCGCCTTTCTTTTCCCTTCAAGCCTTTAGCATTCAGTTTCTTTTATCAATTGAAATGGTATATATACAGTCCCTGCGCTGCCCTGTAAGGAAGGTAAAAGACCCGGCCCCGCACTCAGCCAGTCAGCCTGGAGTGACATCTTACTTCTCCAGGAAGAAAGTTGCATGAATTCCAGAGGGAAGGTCCCATTTGTGCGCGCTTGGCGTCAAAGCCCCGCCCCTTTCTGCAAACCCCAGCCACGCCCCAAGCATCCTGTCCCCGCCCTCTATCTTAACAGCCTCTAATTTTCCAGGTGAAATGGTATCACCTTGGAAAAGCTTCCACAAGGAAAGTTCTGTTGCCTTCACAAATATTTTTAATTATCAGTAATGAAAAACAGAGTCACGACAGACCTGCTCCGTTTGAGGGGATTTCATGCCTCTCACATTTGGAATTTTAATAGAGCAGTTATATTCATCCAGTACGGGACGGTCATTATGGGGCAGACAGTTGCAATGGAAGGTGTGATATTTTCAGATTCTTTCACTAACTGTGGGATTATATTAGGAGAATGTTTTCACAACAATATTGGCTTTTTCATAATCGAGGTGTTATTTTCGAAAAGAAATATTGCATAGATATGATTTGTGTATTTAGATTAAAACTTTAAAAAAGGAAAATTTTAACGTCTCCATTCAAAAGATGGAGGTTTGAAATAAAAAGCTGGTATATATAAAGATATATAATATATACCATTTTGTTATAGATTCCCTAACCTATGATACACGGTGTTACATAAAGCTACATTGTGTCAAATGAACTTTCCTGATGTGATCCTTCCTGATACCTCCCAACCCCTCCCCCCCACCCCCTGTCAGCTTCAAGGATTCTGTCACACTTTCCTCTCTCATGAAACATGGTCTTCCGTCTGAAAAAGCACATACACCCCTACAGGGGTCCCTGGACACCTACTCCATCATAACACACCCCAATCCCCCCCATTCCGTCAGTGAATTCAGTTCAGGGTGTCCCCGAGAAAGACGATCGGCAATCAGATTTGGGGGGGGGAGGTCTGAAGCTGCAGGGCTCCTCTACCCCCCCACCACGATGGGGGGAGGGGGGGTTCCTTCTGACTGAGTTCTGAAAGTAGGGATGTCCTGATTCTGGTCTTCAGCAAAGGTTTTCTCCTCCTCCTGTTCCTCCTCACCTCCTTCTCCTACTCATCCTCCTCCTTCTGCGCCTCCTGCCTTTGCGCCATTTCCAAACCCCACTTCTGTCCACCTCCCTTCTCTCTGCTTGGTTTAGAACAAATCTGGACAAAACCGTGTTTCCTCCCCAAGAAAAACGTGTTTCCTCCCCAAGCTCCCATCTGTAAATAGAAACAAAGAAAATTGCTTTTTTTAATTAATCATGAGCCATGTACATATAGTTTTCATATAATTTTTCTAAAAACAAAATATATGTATAATTATATATAAATATATATATGAATGTTTGCCATATATGCATCTCCTGTCAGAGTGTGAGAAGAATTCGTTCTTTCAATGAACTATGAATTAGGGGATGATTTGCACAAATCCAGGTGCTAACACAAAGCCATCCATCCATCATCGGGGTGCACAGACCCCGCTGTGCCCTGCCAGGCTCGCCTCTGCCCTGCGTGGGGGCTGCTCTCCCCTCCCCCACCCTCCTGCAGCTTGTCTGTCCCCATATTTATCACGGTGTGTGTGTCTGTGTGCTCAGGTGCCCTATTGGATTGTCCATTGGCCCCAACACAGCTAGAGCCTGTCTGTCCAGGAACCCTCCATGTCCCGCACACACATCCCAGTAATACCCTCCTGCAGGGCTGTTGGCTCTGCGCTTCCTCTTTAGCAATATCTACTAGCATGCAGGACCTCAGCAGAGTTGTGTGAGGCGCCCCCGTGTGGCAGGCCAACTGAACAACAGCAGTGGAGGCTGTTAGACAGCCTGTGGTCTTGGAGAACTCCATCGTCCACAGAAGGAAGGAGCAGCATCTCGTACACCACTTCTGATTTATAATGTCAGGAGCTAGAGAGATGGAACTGCTTCAGTATTCACAATATACATTTCTGCTCCTGACAACCATTTTAAGGTTTATTTTGTAATGCACTGTTATTGGTTTGAATTAAGATTTATTTGAGGTTAAATATGTCATGGAGTGATAACTGTGCCAAAAAGTATTTGCCTTTGTACGTCTTACATTTTTTGACATGTATTTGTTGAAATGAAACAGTGTGTAAGAGCTGTTAGGCTGTGCTGCCCCCTCCTGGCGATTTTGAGTACTGCTTACATTCGCTAAGACCATGACCATTCCCGCTGTGTGTACATGATTTTTTATGTATTCCTATATATTTTGACGATATGCCTGTGCAGGTAGTGGACAAAACAAAAACCATTAAACGGCCATACCACACATGTATACAGTTACACGGCTACCCCATGTATGTATGTAAAAGCTGCTTGTTTTAACTCCCACGAACATCCAAAGGGAATCCGGATGGTTCCGGTGGATCCGAATGTCTGCGAGTTGGGATCTGATGACCTCGGGCAGGGTGGAGTCGACTCGGACTGAAGGAGGAGAGATGCTGGTGCAGATGGATGTGGGGGCAGGCTGTGAAGAGTGTGAGTGCACTATGTGCGGTACCTCTTCAGGGAAGACTACGGCTCTCCCGAAACTGGGGGGTTGTAGTCTGGCTGCCGACATTCTGAGCTCAGCGCACGGCAACCCCACCCCCCCACGTGAGGCCCCACCCCCAGCCAAAAGACAGTGTGGCACGCTTCCCTCACGAAGCTGCACTGTCACATGATGCATGTCCAGCGATGCATCCTGCTTCCCAGGCTCGGCATTCTCCACTCCGCAGGTTGGCACCCTCACCAGAGTCCCGTGTCCTCGTCCCTTATCGCCATCAAACCGTATCCGTGAGACGGACCCGCCTTGGACTCACAGGCACCACGCAGCGTCAGCTGCCACGGCCCGGACGCGCCATGTGGCCACGCCGCCCAGTGACATTTAGTTGTTGTGAATTTCTTTGTTTGTCCACTACCTCTATATAAACACACTGCCTGCTTTTGTGGGGTTTTCATTAAGATACTGCTTCATATTCTGTGCACAGTATGACAGTATTGTTGGTTTACAGTACAGTAAGTTTTTAAAAAAGGAATTTTAGTCTGGTGGCTTTTCCTGTTTGACTTCCACTGCTTTCCAGAAAGAGGAGATGAGACGTATCCTCAGAAAGGAGAAATGCAGTTCAGATTCATGTCGTGTCTCTGGGATTTACGGCCATTCGAATAGCTTCACATTTTATTAATCGTGTTATTTCCCGATCCAACACCATATTCAAATGAAAGTGTCATTTACTTTGTCCTGTAGGGTGTGATTGTGTCAATGCTACTGAAGAAGCACAGGATTCTTGCTGGTTCCCACTGTGCCCGATTTTTTCTGGTGTCGCGGAGCTGCTGTAGGAGGGTAACCAGGTAGGAGCCTAAATGTGTCTCTCAAAGAAATCCTACAGAATTATGGGTCGTAGCTGGAACACTTTTGCTCTGGGATATAAAATTATTTGTGCAATGTGCATATATACAGACATGTAGTCATAACTGATGTGAAGTAGTTTGATGTCAACTGACCTCCACGGAGAGTTTTGGTCACCAAAGCTGACCTGAGATCAGTCTGCTCAGTTTAATGTGGAGATTGCCTTTGCCTTAATGAATGGCTCTGACATCCAGCTTTAATGCTGGTTAAATGTTCGTCTCTGATCCTAACCCATCTGGATCTGGTAGAGACAGTACCGCTGCTTTATTTTAAATGAGAAGCAGGCGGAGGCTTAGTCACGTCCTGAAAAGAGAGCGGAAAGTCATTTAGTCAGATTGCTGGAGTTAAAATACAGAGTTGATCTGACAGTGTAATACTCCAGGACACACCAGTACGCACAGGAAGGCCGTTTGTCTTTCCATTGTTAACAGTTATTGGGCTGGATTTTGTGCCTGGGTCAAAAAAATAAATAGGTTAAGGGAGAATTCTGTTTAAAAAACAGGTGTGGACTTTCAGCACTTTTCAATAATTCGTACATTTTATTCTGAGAGCGACACATGTGCAATGTCAGGATATACGGGCCTGGGAGCTTTCTAATAGCAGTTGTGCTGTGGTTGTGAAAAACATTAAGCCAATCAGCTGCTGTAACCCTGTTAGCTGGTGGTGCAATAAAACTGTCACTGCACTTATAAGTACAAGCTGCAATATATAAAACGCTGGATTAGCGATAGCGTCGGGGGTCAGGTGCACCTGCAACTCGCCAGACACGGCGGGGAATCCCCTGTTGGCTCATCCGGCATGTGACACTATCACATGCAGCGGTGTGTATTTTTCACCCATTCACCTCAGCATTGCGGGCCGAGAGGGGCGCTCCTGTGATCTCCAAACACATGGCGATCACTCATTCGCTGTTAATACCCCCAAAGTCAATGTTTCATACGCTTTTCAATTAATGTGGTATGCTATAGCGGTAGAAGATGTTAGGCTAAATGATTGAAAATTAATATTTTAAGTAATTTGTTAAAGTAGAACAGCTTTTTTTTTTTTTTCTTACTTTTAATTAGAATTAAAGAATGATTTGGATTAAAGAATGTAGTGACAGCGGAAAGCCTGCAGGTGGCAGCAGGAACTCTAGCCAGAACGGTTTTGAAATTTTAACTCTGGCTCTGCAATACACGAATAATGTGATCAGTTGTCCTGGGTTTCCCTGCTGTCCCTTGGAGGTGTCTATGCAGGGTGTCCGAAGCAATTCTATACTCTTTATTCGGCTCCAAACACTCTCCCTAACTTGCCCGAGGGATTTAGGCTTTTTTTCTAAGACGTTCTTCAAACGAACATGAATCTGAGGTGTAAAACCTCGGACCCCCTTGTGATATTTACACTAAAGAGATATATGTTTGTTATATCATGTAATAAATTTATTATTGAAATCAGCCTGTCTCCTAGTGTGCATTCATGTGCTGAGAGCGGTCTGTGCTGAAAGTCAGCGAGACAAGCCGACTTTGATGACACCGCGTGCTACAGCCGACCTGATGGCGCCATCCTGTGACTTATGAAGGGATTGCAACTTTGTTCACGTTTTTACTTCCCAGTCTTTCCGGTATGAACTGTTTGAACACAAACTGCTCCTTCGACTGCCGCTTTAATACGCGTCCTCTGTGATGAAGAGAGGAAGCCAGCGGTGTCCTGTTAGCGGGGGTCATTCTACCAGCGATGGGCTGTTTGTGCCTGACAGATAATATATGACCGTATCTGCCACATATCTTAACAGCGTATTAGTGTAATTTTTGGCACTGTTTACTTTTACAGTTAAAGGGCTGAATATGAAGCAAACGTGGAATTTCCACATCTGATTATCTCTTACATAATACATGTATTATTATTATTAATAATAAAATAATAATAATTGATACTTCACTGATCCTCGTGGGAAAATTGTCTTTTTTTTACGCCTTGCTCAATTTGTTTTTTTTAGAGTAAACTGTCCGCGAAGAGCAGCCACTTATTGGGGGCCCAGGGAGCTGGGGATTAAGCATTTTAGGTTAAGTGCTTACTCTTTGTCTACTCACATATACAGTATGTGTAACCCTTTCTTTGTGGTGTGCTCCCCCAAATGGCTCTGCGTTGTGTTAATGTAGGGAGTGAATGAGGAGGACACCAATCTTGTCGTTGAATCAAAGCGGAGTAGCTTTCTTTGTTTATTGGGTTCTTTCTCCACATCAGTCACTCTTCTTCTCATAAGAAAACAGAGCTATAGCTAAACAACAGCTCCACCCCTGAAATGAAAGCTCGCACAACAATGAACCACAGCTCCCCCCTAAGGCTGAGTGGACATATTACATCTTGCCTACATCTGGTAAAACATATTTTTCATGGAAAAAGAAATATATTGACCTGCTGTTCATTGATGTCAAATGTAATAAGATGATCAGTGTATGTACTTCAGGAACACCATAAAACCTGTCCCCCACCCTCTGTTCCACCATGAAAAACATCTTCAACTTTGAGAGGGTTAGTTTAGCATCAGAACTCTCACAGGTGAGCTGTGGCATGAGCACCCCCTAGTGAAATACACACCTGGCTCCTTTTATCACGTAAAACGGTATTGACTGTCACTCTGGGGCGGTAACTCCAAGGTGAGGTATGCAGGTGCGACCAGCCTTCCGTCCACGATAAGCAGTGTGACGTACTGAGGGCGTCGAATCCCCAAGGCAAACCCGGGCAGGTGCTGACGAGTTACTCCAATAAGCATCCTGGGTATTTCCATTCGGAAGTATGGGCATCGCTGTCCTACACCGATGGCTGCCAAAATGCTGTACGGCCATTCTTAAAATATGCTGTACCTGGAGTACTCTAAGCTACAATATGTTCAAACTTATATACAAAATAGGAAGAAACAATCAAATCTGATAGGTCCGGCGAAAACCGGCGTCAGATCAGCCACGGCTAGAGTGATGTTAGGAAATTGGCGCATTGTAGTTCTTCCTTTAGTAAAACGATAGCAACATACTAATTTGTCCTACGTTAAATATTAAAATTTGTTAAAATACCACTATTAACAAATGAATTGTGTCGTACAACAAAATGAGAAGGTTTTTCAATACTCATTTTAACCACAGACGTTATTGTTCCATTTTTGCCGAGGGAACCGGATGCTCGAAAATGTTAAGAATCCGCCTACAAAATGACGTCAGACTTGCAGTCTCGGTAGTGCGCCATTCCACTTCCGGAATGCAGAACCCTCTTTTATGGTCGATGTGAGTAAACTAAGTGCTATTCGAGTAAATGTAGCGATAATGGATATTCTTAAGGCTGAGATTGCAAAGAAGAGGAAACACATAGAAGAGAAAGAACTCCTGGATGTGAGTAAAACAGCAGCTCTGAAACGATGGTGCTTTTGGTTATACCGCCGTTTACGTTAATCACCGTGCGTTTACAGTATGGCTGCGTGTAAGAAGGGTGCTTAATTTAATAACAGTGCATGCTGCGGTGTAATGCATGTGATGTATGGCGGGTAAATGGTTGTTAATACAGTACGTGATCGGCTGCAGTCTCGTTTCCTATGTTTCCCTATCCCCTGCTCTTCCTCCCCGTACTGTATGCTATCCATCGTAAATGATTCGGCACCTATCCCCTATGATCGCGCGCTTTGTATCTGCACCTTTATATACAGGACTCCACGAGATACTTCAAGCGGGCCGATCTTGTACGGAAGGAACAGGAGGATTACTACAAGAGATGTGGCTACGAGGTACGGTGATATCGGGCTCTTACGGGGAGATCGATGATAACCGTAAACCTAACGGTGGTGCCAGTCTTACCATGGAAACACGTATAGACGATCTGTTGCCGCAAATACATTTAAATTGCCGAAGATACCCCTGGCGCACGTGTGGTTTCATTAACCAGACGCTAAACTCAAATCACATTGTCACACCATTTCACACTTCGTAGAGAATAAGTGACTGAAAAACTTGTGGAAAGTAAGACTACAACAATGGCGAAATAGTGCAGATATTGGAAGCATTCGAAAATAGATCGGTAGGGGAATGAAAGATCCCTGGCAGGGTGCCACACTAACGCCTTTTTCACCCCATGTGCATCGCGCTGTAGGTTGATAATGAGAAGCCAGCGGGACAGGTATGGTACAGCATGGCTGAGCTCCAGGTCCAGTGCCGGTCAGCCCATTAGGCGGCATAGGCAGCCACCTAGGGCACCATCTTCTGAGGGGTGCTGACTTATCAAGTCGATTTCAGTTTGTCTCAGACAGGGGGTGCTGATGGTGAAGCTGCCCTGGGGCGCCACATGGGCTCTGACCAGCACTGTCCGGCTCTCTGGCATTGATCTGCATGCCGCCCCACTTGTCTTGCATTTTCTTGTGTTCAGCATGGTCTAGGAGATGGTCTTATTGGGCACGGGTTTTGGTTTGAACATTTTTAGTTGGTCTGATGTTTTGTAGGCTGTGTGGCATTTAAAATGAAAAGCTGGGCCTGGCTTTCATTTGGTGCTCCAAGTGCTACATGGATAGAACTTCACTGGTAAAATGCAGTGTGCAGTGCATCAGAATGGAGTCCCGGCCTACCTTCCTATTTGTCTGTGTTTTCCCCCTACACTTGATTTTGATCTAAAGATCTTTTTGTGCATCTAATAATTAATCTCAAAGGTGCTTATATGCAGGAAGCACAACCTGAGAAAATGATTACCATTTTTGCATGACAGTTGTGCCATTGGTTTATGTTTGCCAGAGCCCTGACCGCGTAGAGCAATGGATAAAGTACATGTAGATCTATGTGACACATTAATCAGTATTTCCTTCATGGGTATGAGTATTTGCATCTGAAGTCTCTGCTCTCCAGTAAAGCTCACCCTGCCCGTTGTAGTACTGTACAGTGTAGGGATGCTCCTAGCTCAGTGGAATAAAACTCCTTTTCCATGTGCTTCAAAGCCGGAGAAAAGGGAAGAAATGACAGAGCCCGCCACCTCCTCCAATCCTGTGTTAGAGCTGGAGCTGACGGAGGAGAAACTGCCCATGACCCTTTCTCGGCAGGAGGTGAGATATCGCCGCCCTACTGTACAGACATGGAAAGCTTCACCACATGATACTGGCCCAGCTCGGCTCCCACGTGTGTGACTTTCGGACAGGTCTAATATCTCTGTTCTGCACTGCGCAGGTGATCCGACGCCTGAGGGAGAGAGGGGAGCCCATTCGTCTTTTCGGAGAGTCTGACTATGATGCATTCCAGCGCCTGAGGAAGATAGAAATTTTAGCTCCTGAAGTGAATAAGGTATTATGAGGGACAGTGAGTGTGTGGGTACAAACTCCTTCTGTTGATGATTCATTTATGAACCGCTTATTGTCACGACGTCCCATCGAGTGACAACCTGCCACCATGTGCGCATGTCATTAAGGGCTTAAGGAACGACCTGAAGGCGGCCATGGACAAGATCGACCAGCAGTACCTGAATGAAATCGTGGGTGGGCAGGAATCGGGAGAGATGGACATGCAGCACGACCTGAAGGTCCATGAGGAGAACACTACCATTGAGGAGCTAGAGGTGCTTGCAGATCGGGGCTGTCGAGGGAGGACAATGCCTGCAGACGCACAGACCGCTCCAACATCACTGTTTTTGAACGGATCAAATTTTTTTTTCTTCTTAAGACTTGTATGCTGTTACTAACGTTATTCTGTACCTGAGAGGGTGTGATTGAGACTCCAGGGTAGCTCTTTCACTCCTTCTGAGTTTTAAGAAAACTGTATTCAAATTCTTATGTCCTGTAGGGCTGATGGTGCCATTTTAGCAGTAGGGGGTGCAGTTGCACTGTTTTGAGTGAAGCTTTAATGTCCCATCAGGCTCTCGGTGAATCTCTGGGGACAGGCGACGATAACGGTGACATGGACGTCATAAACAAAGTGTTAAAGGTGAGTGCCCCCCCCTCGCCCTGCCTGACGCCTGGGGGCCTTTAGGCTTGAGCAGGCTCACCGCTTAAAGGCATCTGCCAGGCATGACCGTTTGAGACGCTTTCCAGTTCCTGCTTGGCGTCTGGGCCAAGGAGCTGAACGGACGGGAGGAGCAGGTGAAGCGGAGCGTGCAGGGAAAGCTGGCCAGTGCCACCCACAACCAGACAGAGTCCTACCTAAAGCCCCTCTTCAGAAAGCTCCGGAAGAAGGTAAGTGTCCTGCTTATGCCTGCAGGTGGCAGCATCGTGCTGCGCTTACATAAGATGACTAATGACTATGCTGTTTGGATTGAAAGGAGACCCCTATTTACGCTGCCACTTCCTGTATTTTCTCTGTCCTCGCTCTGTTTCAGAGTCTTCCAGCAGACATCAAGGAGTCCATCACAGACATCATTAAGTTCATGCTGCAGAGGGAGTATGTCAAGGTTTGCAGAACATCTCCAGCTGATGAGTCCACACATTCTTAGGTGTTGCTGCGTATCGTTTGTAAGTGAGGTGTCTCCCTGGGCCCGGCAGGCTAACGACGCCTACCTTCAAATGGCCATCGGAAACGCACCCTGGCCCATCGGCGTCACCATGGTGGGCATCCACGCACGTACGGGCCGAGAGAAGATCTTCTCCAAGCACGTGGCACACGTTCTCAATGACGAAACCCAGAGGAAGTACATCCAGGTGAGGGCTGGGGCACACAGGTCCCCATGGCTTGTTTGGAGTATTTAGTTTTTCTTGTTGTTCCCTCAGAAGAGGCCGTTGACATGCGTCACCTTCCTCTGCAGGGCCTCAAGCGTCTGATGACCATCTGCCAGAAGCACTTCTCCACAGATCCTTCCAAGTGTGTGGAGTACAATGCCCTGTGACTCGCCGCGCCCGACACACCAGACTCCACCCTGCCATTCACTGTAAATATAAATAGAACTTTCCAGAAAGTTCCGTGTGAGTAAGTGTGTTTTGTGGATGTCAAATGAAGAGTTTACATTTTCTGAAATGCTTGTTCCAGATTTCATTTGGTCTTGTGGATTATCTAACTGAAGAACATCTGCGTAATATTATAGAGGTAAAAGGTCTTTCTGTCATTTTCTCTAGCTGGCATGTGTTGGTGTTGTTGTCCGGCACCATGCAGATTCCCATGCCCCCGCGTCCGCCATGCGCCAGTGCTGCCCGCTATACCATGAGACATGTGGGCGCTCTGGCTGGGGCTCTTGTCTCGGGCGGATTAAGATGTTTTCACCCAGCGCTGCAGCTCCGTCTGCATTTGTTTCTGCCTGTTGGGGTTGTCTTTGAGCGTCTGCATGCCCCCGTTGTGCCTTCTTGCCCTCGTGAAGGGCAGGGCAGGGCAGGCTCTGTCTGCCAGGCTGTCCTGTGGAGGGCAGGAATTGTCAAATGCTTAAAAAAAAAAAGAAGCAAACTGGCCTCCCACTGCGATCATGAGTGGGTGTGTCACTGGGGGGAGGGGGGCAGAAGCCTAACCAGTGATTGTCAGGCTCAGGGAAATGGCAGCCTACTAGAGGGTTTGTTTAACCCCGTTACTCAGATTAGGATGAAACACACCATGTGGTTAAGCCTGTGTACCTGTACTCACAAGGTCGCCGGTTCAAACCCAGCCTCAGCATGTCTGCGGGCCCTTGAGCAAGGCCCTTAACCCCCAGCTCCCTGGGCGCCCCAACAGGTGGCTGCCCTTCGCGGACAACTTACTCTACAAAGAGCGAGTTGAGGGAGGCGTAAAAACAATTTCCCCACGGGGATCAATAAAGTATCTATTCCATTTTCTCGGCTGCCAGTGGGGTGCAGCAGTGAGTTCTGTGGCGGTGACCACTCGGGATGCACGTGTGCCACGCAGCTCCCTCCCCTGTAGTGTGCTGTGGTTAAGGACACTGCGGTTGCAGCATACAGCCTGCAGCTGAGGGAGAAACGCAACCAGCTGCTGAGTTTCCAGGGGTCACTGACACGGCCTCCCGGCTGTTTACACACAACAATGTCGCTATCTAAACAGCTGCAGGCAGACCTCCGAGCCAGCGGCCTTTGGCTAGACGGAGAGAGAGCCTCGGGGGGCGTGACCCCTGACCTCAGAGCGACCCCTGGGGCTGAAGCATGCTGGGCTTGGCGCTGTGATGCGCCTTTGTCCCCACGCCCAGTCCAGGAGGGGCATCCCGGGACACAGAGGAGTCCCCGGGTTTCTCACGGCCTGCCGATCTAAGGGCTTCCAGCTGGGCAGTGTTTGTGCTGTCACGAAAACCGCCGTCATGGCAACCACGCTTTATTGGGGAGGCATGATGGCTGCCAGCTTTAATGAGAAACTGGGAAGCAGGATGTGGCCGGGGATCACATGCGAGATGACGGGGAGCGCCTCCACCCTCCTGTGATCTCCAGCGACTGAGAGCTCACGCCGTCTCCTGAAGTCCCTCTCTGACTGTAGCACAAATGGGCTGTATGATTATGATTTGCAGTCTGGCCCGTGTCAGCCCATCTGGGGTTTGATCCGGTGAGTGGTCATAGCTGGACTCCTTCATGACCAGGGGCCCCTTCAGGACATCCCACGAGGAAAGACCCAGTGGGAATGATAGATGGACACCTGTGGTACCAGGAAATGAGTTCTGTGTTCCTGTGTGATACATCCCCCAGCTAGCCAGTCAGCTGCGCTGGTTCACCCTCACCAAGCATGGATCGGTTTCCGCTCTACAGGGAGGGTGGAGGATGGTTAAAAAATGATGGGGCCTCCTTGGCTTCTCAGGAGCCCAGATGGTTCCTGTGTATGGTCTATCAGACCAAACGGGGGCGCTGTGGAGCTGCCACTGCAGGGGCATGTGGGGTGTGGTGCCCATAGGCCACCACACAGGGGCCATTTGGTTTGACAGCACCTCTCTGACAGTTGTATGAGACACACTCACACAGTGTTGCTCCCTGTGGAACATTCTGGAAGGACGGTGTGGGAGATGGAAGGATGGCTCCTTCCCAGTCCTCGTCAGGAACATTGGTGATGGAATTCTCCATTGGTCAGTTATCAGAAGCACTCGCTGGTCGCTGGTCATGCTAATGTTGCTCTAAAGTGGACACACCCCCCTCATGGAATCTGCTCCCGCATGATGTTATTCCCTCAGTCTCTCGGAAAGCAGTGAGCCGTAAAATGAGAAACAAAATTTTTAACAGAAGGTATGACATAGGAATAATCATCCTGACAGGACTTTGGAAATAAAAAACATACGAATTACATTATCAGAAGGTCCTAAAAAAGTAACTGCAATGCTTCTAGAATGGCCATGATTGACATTGGTGATTAATGGGGTGATTAATCACAGGAGCCGGATGCGTCGATGCTATTAGAATCGCGGCTGATTTTCATTACAGGAAGAAACCAAACACTCATCCCTTTAGAGAACATTCAGCAATAATTTATTTTCATTATCTTAAGAAGCAAATTGTCTCGTCTGGAAAATCCATATCAGTCACCAACAACACAGTTTGCAAAAATTGTAAAGGGACTATACAAATTCTTAATAAAAAAAGAATAACTTAACAGTGAATATCCCCCCCCCCCCCCTAAATGTCCACATAGTCTGTCATCCTACAACATCCACCTTAAAGGTCTGGGTGGGGAAGCAACGTGCACTCTTGGCTGTTCGACGTGACGGCCTTCATCTGCTAAACCATATGAGCGCCTGTGAAATTCTCCATCTGGGGGAGGTGGTCGCCTGGTGAATTTAAAGCGTTTGTTGTATCAAAACAAAAACCTGGCACTGTTTAAAAAAAATAGTCAGGAGGTTTGGCCTCCTAGTGTCCTTGCCTGAAAGTGGCAGGAATGGAGTGTCTCACTGGAGAGGGCTGGGGAGGGGTGCCTCCGGACTGTACCAATAAAGACCACAGGGGTGCGGCTACACGTAACTGACACACTAATGGCTACAGCATGTGCTGTGAGCTGTAGCACCAAGGAAACATACCTCTGTGTGTTTACTACCATACTGACCAAGCGCAGACCTGCTGTCATGGCGCCAGGGGCAATTACAGAGTGCACATCGCCCCCTGCTGGCAAAAGATCACTTTCCTGAAAATTATCTGAAATGGTCTTAGTTAGGGAACTGGAACAGCCAATCCATCTTAAACTCCAGGCACGGGGAGTGGGCTCCCACAAATGAAGAGCATCTGCATTTGGAATGAATGAGAACAGCAGGCATGGCACTTTGTACACATGCACGATGTAATACAAAACAAAACCACAAAAACCCTGCTTTTGCTTAAAATATGGCTTCTTCTATCCTCTCATATCTGGTGTCCAGGTCAAAGGTCAAACAGAGGAGATGAGAAATGCACCCACCAGTCAGGGAAAAATCAGCCCGCAGTTTCCCAGAATGACAAAGTAGGGAGCAGGGCTATGATGGACAGCTGGGGGCTAACGTTGAGCCCCCATCTTGCTCTTCCATAATCAAGCACCCCTTCAGATGATATGTTTTGGTTTTGTTGTTGAATATGAATGATGACCCTTTAAGGAGGATACATGGACGACCCAGACATCAAAGTATATGGATTTGTACAGTAAATGTTGATTTGCTTCTTTGATATTAAAGATAAACCTAGAGTTTCCCTGACTATTGATGCTCATGTTGACTGACAAGCTGCTTGGTCCTCTGCACTTCCAACAGAAGGGGGGAGTAAGAGTTTACATGCAGTGCAGCCCAGCACCACAAGAGGGCTCTGAACCCCCCTCCAGGGCCCTGAGCAGTGTGATGTTACAGGGTCCCTGAGTTGCTGTCACTGCACAGTGTTGACAGCTCTGGGGGCCCAGTAGGTGAGATTGTCCTGCTCAGATCAGAAGGCCTATATAGTGAGCACCTCCAGCAAGAAATATACTGCATGACCATAAAAACGCACCTGCCCGTTCGCCTCTACTAACATTAAAGACACGACTGAAGGCGCTGAAGATTCCCAGGATGACCAGACCTTCTGAGGGTACAGCTAAGCACAGGGCACAGGAATCCATTTGTGCTTCTGACGGGAAGGAGAGCCTTGAGGTGAGTGGAGGGATTGTGGACACGGCAGAAGACGGGCAGTGTGTGGGAAGGGGCCCAGCCCTGCTCCAGTCCTGCCTGGATCTTTGGTGGTGGGACGGACTGAGTCCATCTTCATCTCCATGATAGGTGGGGAGAGGGGTCATTCAAAAAATGTTCAGTCGCAGTCAGAGCATCTGGTCGGTCCCCCTGGCAACTGACGAATTGTTTGCAAACAAGAGACAATGGACAAAAAGTCTGTTGACCCAGAACAAAAGGGTTTTTACTGATCAGGAAGCAGTTCTTGTAGCAGCACAGACCGACCACCAGGGGGCAATTCCTGGGTGTGGAGATTTCAGGAGCAAGATGGGCAGATGTACGACTCCTGCTTGTGCTTAAAGCGGCTGCTGGGGGGTCAGAGGAGGGGCTAAACCCATCATGCCATCAGGTGGGCAGACGGGAGGGGGGGACAGTGCATCCGGCTGAGGCCCCAGGGTGAAGGTTGCTTCACACCAGTGTCCCTGACTTGGGCTTGGCTTCTCGCCCATACCACTGGAGACCGTCCAGGTAACAGCTGTCTTTGAAAGGACTGCAAGAAACAAACACAAATTTCATGTATTTAGTGGACAATGCGACGTACTGGTCAGCCAATTCCCCAGGGGCCTAACGCTAAAATCACGCTAATGATAACAGAATACAAGCCAGCAATCACAGGCACAGCATCCTAACCCGCTCGGTTTTGTACATGCGAGTACAATCATTGCCTTGTAGACAGGGTATGGACAGGCAGAGCATTGTGGGATACGTGGCCCAGGGTAGGGCAGACATCATACCTCTATTCGTCTGTACTTTGGAGAGCTGGAGACTGAGAGCGATCGTCAGCTGGAGAGCTTTCTCTAAGGCGAGCGGAGTGGACAGCACAGCGAAGAAGCAGAGGCACGAGCGAGGAAGGAAAAGCAGGTTCAGAGGTCAGCCTCAAGGTCAGAGGTCAGCAAGGAGGAAGTCTGCCATAGGAAAGGCTCACAACCAGCGCCTTAGAATATTCCTACGGATTTCTAAAGCAGATTCATGCTCGAGCAGGGAAGCTCCAGAAAATGCACACACACAGGCACACATATGATGGCGAAGGCATAAGAATCATCCGCGTTAGATGAGGCCTCGGCTTTGGCCAGCCCTGAGCCCAGGAGGCCCTCTAGCCTCCTGCAGAATGACCCGGCCCTGCTTGACAGGCCTGACCTCACAGCACAGGCATCTAGCTGGGAAAAGGCGCAAATCTGCTTGCCTGTAGCTGGCAGTTTAACTGCATGGATCTGCTGCCTGTAATGTGCAGTTTAACTGCACGGATCTGCTGCCTGTGATGTGCAGTTTAACTTCGCGAATCTGCTGCCTGTAATGGTCAGTTTAACTGTGCAGATATGCTGCCTGTAACCTGCAGTTTAACTGCGCAGATCTGCTGCCTGTAATGGGCAGTTTAACTGCACGGATCTGCCGCCTGTAATGTGCAGTTTAACTGCGCGAATCTGCTGCCTGTAATGGTCAGTTTAACTGTGCAGATATGCTGCCTGTAACCTGCAGTTTAACTGCGCAGATCTGCTGCCTGTAATGGGCAGTTTAACTGCACGGATTTCCCGCCTGTAATGTGCAGTTTAACTGCGCAGATCTGCTACCTGTAACCTACAGCTTGACTGCTCCGATCTGTTGCCTGTAATGTGCAGTTTAACTGCACGGATCTGCAGCCTGTAATGTGCAGTTCAACTGCGCGGATATGCTGCCTGTAATGGCCAGTTTAACTGCATGGATTTCCTGCCTGTAATGTGCAGTATACCTGCTCTGATCTGCTGCCTATAGCGGGAAGTTTAACTGCACAGTCACCCCAAAGAACACTCCCACCTTCATTGGTAGATAATTCGGCACCAGAGTGCAAGTCATGTGACACTCACCCCCCGGGCCAGTTGACCATGTGCTGCGGGCTGGCTGGGGGCGTGGTGGTCGAGTCACTGGACAGAGTGACACTCCTCTGGCTATGTGGCGAGGCTGCTGGGGACACACACACGAGGTCAAAGGGCTTAAAGGGGATTCCCAAAAGTCAGGTCAGAGCACAGCCTGGCCCCACCCACCTGGCGAGCTCCTGCCCAGTGTGCCCATCCTGCTGCCCGGTCGGCTGTGCCGGGGGGAACCGTGCTCCTTCAGCGAGCCGGAGGAGCGCTGATACCAGCAGCGCAGCTCATCCGACACAGCAGTCCTGGCCCCACCCTCGCGGCCCAGTGAGGGTGTCCGTACAATCTGGGAGCGCGACGGCGTGAGGCGGCTCCCGGCACCATCGCTAGCCTCCTCGGCACCACGCCATGCCTCCTTGTAGAGGCCCCCCGCCGTGTACGAGCTAGAGGTCTTGAACTGGGCCTTGACGCTGTAGTGGCCTTCCTGGTCGCTCTCCAGACTGCGCACCACCACAGGCGTGGCACCGCCCTCCACGTACAGCGGGTACTCCTTGATGCGGTACTGTGACGAAGGCTGGCTCTGGCTGTGCAGGTAGACACCGCGGTGGCCCACGCCTCCGCCACCGCCGTTCTGGGCTGCCAGGTTGGGCATGCTGCCTGAGCTGGCCGAGCCCAGCTGCCCGCCGGAGCGGTGCCTCTGCCGGGCCTTGGAGGGCGAGTCCTCAGCCAGCGTGGAGTAGTTGGCGCTGCCGGGCGCTGGGTAGCAGTGCTCGGAGCTGGAGTGGCTGGTGCAGGACGAGCAGTCGTCCGGCAGGTCTGAGCCATTGCTGCCATGTGCTGCCGGCGCACAGAAGTCTGGGCACCCCGACTCCGGGTCCAACAGTTTACTCTGTGACTCCAGGCTGGAGCTGCGGTTCCGAAAGTGCTGAGCCAGACTGTGTAGCCTTGTAGGGCTGAGGTCCACGGACCTAGGGGGGAGAGCGAGGTCAGCCTGCGGGTCGGGGTGTGGTGGCGAGGGTGGGAGGCAGACAAGCATGATGATGAGTGGGCATGACACTGTCCCCTGGAGGAGGGTGAAGCCTGGCAAGCCAACCTGGTGGACTGGACGCAGTGAGGGCCCCGGGTCCTCAGGTTGGGCGTGGAGGGCAGGCTGGACTGCAAGCTCCACTGGAGAGAGGCCCGAATGGGGCTGCGTTGCAGGGGGCTGCTGCCCCCAACCTCGGAGCAGCCTCCCGTGCTGGGCAAGCTCCTGTGGCTGCTGTGAAGAGCCAGGATATCCCATCAGCCCCTGGGGCCCACATACGGTGCAGCCCGAAAACAGGGGCATGCAAACTGTACATCCGAGAAACATTCATGTCATGGTATGGAGGTGGATGTAGGGGATTAAGATGAAGGAGCTAACAGCGCCCCCTGCTGTCTGCCCGCAGACCCACCTGGAGTGGATGTGGGAGGTGCGCTTCTTGGCACGCTCGTAGGGCTCGTCCAGCGAGGACTCGCTCCACATCTTGGGCTTAATGGGCGACTTGTCATAGTCACCGCACTGGTAGTGTGGGTGTCGCAGGCCATCCAGGGACTGCGGGGGTGGGGGCCGGCCATGCCCCGGGGGCCGGGGGGGCAAGCTGCGATGGGGAGAAGCCGTCGGGGTGAAGGTCCCTGTCACCTGGAGGTCATCTGGCGGGGAGACAAGGGAGCTGTTTTAGATGGTAGCAGAGCAGGGAGCCCACTGACCTGGTTCTGAGCTGAGTCTGTATGTCCTCCAAGGCAGGCCACCATCCAGCCCCCCAAGACATCAGCAGCACTGAGCCCTCGGGCTGCTCTACAGGCCAGGTGCCTTGGCCCTGACCACTGGCCCTAGCTTCTAACAGCCACAATCAAACTGCTCTTCATGGTGCCATTTGGGTGCTTTCACACCAGAACCTGTTTCCGTTAACTGGTCCAAATCCGCTTTCTGGTTTTGAAACAGATAAGGGCCATATCTGGGCTGGCTTTACATTGACTGTTACTGAATCTGGCCCGTATTTGCACCAGAATCAAAAGTTAAATTCAGAGGAGAGTCCAAATGGGGATGGTGAGTGGCTCAGTGGGGTAAGTCTCTGTGCTTGTGAGCAGGAGGTTGCTGGTTTGAGCCCCAGCCCCGGGTGATGGTCACATGTCTGTGGGCCCCTTAATCAAGGGTATGTGATGAACAGTATTCTTGTGTCTAAAAGTTTGAATTATGCTCCAGGATCCTAGCTGGGATCTTGGAGCTCACCTTAATAAACACTTTTAATCGCACCGATACTCCTTCTCTTCACCAAACTCAATCTTATTTACTCCAGCAACACCCCCAGAGCTGGGGGTTAAAGGCCTTGCTCAAGGGCCCACAGACATGTGACCATCACCTGGGGCTGGGGCTCGAACCAGCAACCTCCTGCTCACAAGTACAGAGACTTATCCCACTGAGCCAATCACCATCCCCATTTGGGCTCTTTTCTGAATGTAACTTTTGATTCTGGTGCAAATATGGGCCAGATTCAGTAACATTCAATGTAAAGCCAGCCCAGATATGGCCCTTATCTGTTTCATATCCAGAAAGTGGATTCGGATTAGTATTGGTTCACTGTGCAAAAAAACACTGGACCAGCTGCAGTTTATGGATCTGCGGCGACTTCTGAACAACATTTGGCCTGGATCCAGTACAGACTCATCTTGCTATGTGGGGCGATCACCCCTCAGATTCTTAGTGCATCAGCTGTGCATTGGGTAAGTGACTGATCGTACGTATTTGGTCAGGCAAATGCCCGCCGGGTCTTCAGAGCTTATAAAGACCAGCTGTAATTATTTAGAACTCTGGACAGATTCTGCTGTCAGTTGCTATGTGGATCCCCAGTAGTTTATATTCGCTTAAAACGTACCTACTCTGCAGTAGGTACTTAAAAAGGATTCTGGAACTGCCCCAAGGAAGTACAATCTGGCTAAGTTCCTGCGGTGAGAACACGACAAAAGTTCCTGGTTCTGGAAAAAAGGTTCCTGTGGTGTGAGATTTGACTTGGGGTATTTTTGCTGGCCCGTTATGTGCAGATGATCTCCTACTTCGACAGGACAGGACATACCGTCATCCAAAACCAGGGCATCAGACAGGGAGCTGTCTTCAGAACCAATGTTAGCTTCTGTGAAGCAAGAGCAGAAATGGGATCAGAGTCACGCCACATACAAGATAAGCTTTGCTAGCATTGTCATTTTAGGTCATAATAAGATCTTGAAGGTATGAGGCAAAATGGGGTGCTGGCCCTTTAAGACGCACCCTCCATGATGAGCGAGGCCCTCTGTGTGGGCTTCTTGCCGGAGCGCACACGGTACTCGTTGATGGCGTTCTCGATGTCCTGCAGCTTCCTCAGGGCATTCAGATAGGATGCTTTACGCTGCTTCTTCAGCCTCTTGCTGGTGACATGAGGGTCGCTGGCCAGCCTCCGTGCCGCCTCTGTGATCTGCGACTGGATGGCAAACTCCCGCTCCAGCCGTTCCAGCTCCTCCTCCTATCAGACAACCGCACTTGGTCAGGCCACACCCCATATCCTGTAAGCCATTCCCACCCCAAGGAGCTCCACCAATCAGAGTTATGTCTGGTCACACTGCCTTGTCACATCTTCATGTTTTGGACTCATTACAATATTTCTGAATGTCTGAATCCTATGTGAATCTTCTTTTAAGCATATTAACCTTGCCTGCCCCCACAGAAGCACCTTACACCAGTGACAGCCAAGCTTCACATCAGGGGTGATACACAGTAACTCATGATGTTATATGAATTCTAAATCTTCCTCGTTTGCATCAAACATAACTCCGCTCCCCACCTCCCCTTCACCACAGGTAAGCGGTTTTAGTTTGTGATCCTGCTGAACCTGCTTGAACCGGAAGGTGGTCATCTGGAACCTGAGAACACTAAATGGACCCCACCTCCCCCCTGGGCAAGATCTTCTGCTCGTCCAGCTTGAAGGCTGTGCCGATCTTGCGGCGGACAGTGGGCGGATCCTCTCCGGGATCCAGGGGATACTCCTTAGGTAGCTTCCCTGTCAGCTCCTAGAAGAACACGGCAGCGATAAACCGGTGCAGATCCCCTAAGGTGAAACAGCCCAGTTGGCCACACGGTTAGTATCGGTACCCTGGGCCTTACCGCCTCACGGATACAGATGCTTCTGAGCTCCTCCAGCCTCTGCCGGAGCGTCTCCTCCAGCGCCTCCTGCCTGGCCTTCAGCGCGGCCAGCATGTCCTTCTTGGCCGTCTGCGAGCTGTCCGACTCCTGGGAGCCTGTTGATGAGCGAGCACTCGTCACACTACCGCCGAGGGGGGCAGGCTTTTCTGACGTAACGAACCTGGACTCAAAGAAGAAATGAGGAATAATTCCCCCCCCAGCACTTCGACCAACCACCTTGAAAGGGAACATAGCATTCATTGTGTTGAAGACGCGGAATGTTCTGTACCACGGGGGAGGGAATGAGGAAAGGGACTCCCAGTGCCCCCCCTCACACCCCCCCTGCAGGCTGAGACAGCAGGGACCGACAGGAGCACAGTGGTTTGTCTCCGATGCAGGAATCGTCAGCACCTGCTTCCCATTGGCCGGATGTTTATCCCAAGCAGAGATCTGATAAGCAGACTGTAGTGCCAGCCTTTTGGAATATGTGACTCTGTTTGGCTGAAAGGTGAGGGGGTGAACCTGCCCCCCCCCAAGAGCTACGCGTGTGAGTCAGACTTACTCACAATGCCCATTCCACAAAAAACGCACATTGAAATCCACTGCAGAGATCAAACAGCCACTCCAGACACACTAAGAAAGGCACAGATACGGAAAGAATTCTGCATGGAAAACAATCTCTATGACTAAGAGTGTGACTAAGAGTTTGGGATGTCTGCTGGGGACAGAGCCGAACCTCAGCACTGGGCCTCAGCTCCGGGCCACAGCACTGGGCCTCAGCTCCGGGCCTCAGTGCAGTTTTCCAGTGGATGACTCCTTCAGGAAGCACACATCTGTGATGTAATGCCAGAATATCTCCAAAGGAGGACTAGAACTTACAATTTCAGCCTAGCGTGCACACAGCATGATGTGAAATACAAGGAGGATCTGTCCTTTGCAGACTGATCTGCCTGGCCTTTTAACCCTTAGAAGTTGAAAAACAGAAAATGCGTTGATTTTCGCACCTATTAATCCCGGGCTCGTAACTTTGGATAGGTATAATGCACATACATTAATTGCAAATATTTGGAACTTACTCAATCCGGTCCTCCAGGTTGTAATTTTGTGCACTAAAGTATTCCAGAGTAATCCTGTGCGCAATGAGGCATATATTCTAAGCATATTCCACCAAAACACACTCCATAATCCATAAAACATCGATACTTTTCACATTAGGCGGAAAACAAAGCACATATTCGCTTCTGCAATGATCCATGCACTACTCTTCTGGGAAAAAATAAAATAAAATTTTATATATACATTTATAAGATTATATTTGTAGTGCCTGCAAATATTTATGTTAGATGAGACTAAAATTTTAGAAATTTCAATAGGTGCAAGTACACATCAAATTATGACATATCTGAGTAGCTCAGAATATCCTAAAAACAAAACCATATGTGACTCGTGTACATACCATGAAATAAGTCTAAAATCATAGGGACAGAGAAACACTCGAAAATGAATAGGGATGAAAGGGTTAAAGCAGAGATCCCGGTGCTACACTCCCCCCCACCCCATCTAGAAGTGACCACAGCCTAAAGGATGTGGCATTGGACCACATCCTCCTCCACAGTCCCCCAAGCCCACAAGTTGACCTAGGTCATGTGACTGCATCATGTGACTGCCCACCATTCAGCTAGATGTTTGTCATGTATAATTACATCTGAAGTTAAAGGTAGGCTTTGACTCTCCAAATCTGGACACCCCCTTGGCCCACAACCAAGACAGAGCTGGAACAGCAGCTAGCTTGTTGGGGTGGGCCATTTACAGCACATTCACATACAAAACAAGCTTGGTGGCGCCTGATATCACAGGCCAGGAATCCAATCTCCAGACCTTCAAAGCTAGATCCCTCCAAAGACTAAGAAACGGCACCTGCTGATGCATCAGGGGTACACTGAGACACAAGGCACCCCCTACAGGCGGGCTGGGGATGAGCAGGTGGCTCCAGTAGGAGACTAACCGGGAAATAAGCTGGTCCCTGATGGTGAAACACTGACGGGAAAAGTTGGAAAGCAAGAGCTAGTGTCTCTTCAGAAGCAACAGCTCAGTCACTCCACACAGTCAATCTGCACAGTTAATCTGCACAGTCCAGTCACTCCACACAGTCAATCTGCACAGTTAATCTGTACAGTTCAGTCACTATGCACAAACACTCTGCACAGTCTACATTTAATCTGCACAGATCTGTTATCCACCCATTTCTGTCACTTCCACAGTCCTGAAGACACTCCAGAAATTGGATCTGCATGATGAGGGCCTGACATCACTCCCCTGCTTACGGGCACGCCGCTCTGGCCAAGGTGACGGCTTTCGGCAGAAACCCAGCAAGAGGGAAAACAAGCGAAAACCTCAAGGCTGAAAACGTGCTTTGACACTGACATCCTGACACCGCGAACGTGGCCTCATGCTGGACTCAATGGTGTTGACTTGGGAGTGCTGACTGGTAGTGTTGACCAAGTGGTGTTAATTCAGCAGTGTCGATTGGTTGGTGCTGACTTGGAAATGGGGACCCTGCAGTGTTGACTGGGCAGTGTGGACCTGGCAGTGTTGATTGGTTGGTGCTGACTTGGAAATGGGGACCCTGCAGTGTTGACTGGGCAGTGTGGACCTGGCAGTGTTGATTGGTTGGTGCTGACTTGGAAATGGGGACCCGGCAGTGTTGACTGGGCAATGTAAACCTGGCAGTGTTGACTGGGCAATGTGGACCTGGCAGTGTTGATTGGTTGGTGCTGACTTGGAAATGGGGACCCG